GGAAGATGAGTTAACATTCGTCACAAGTGTTCATAAAGAAGATGGGTTGATATTCGTCACAAGTGTTCATGAGGAAGATGAGTTAACATTCGTCACAAGTGTTCATAAAGAAGATGGGTTGATATTCGTCACAAGTGTTCATGAGGAAGATGAGTTAACATTCGTTACAAGTGTTCATAAAGAAGATGGGTTGATATTCGTCACAAGTGTCCATAAGGAAGATGGGTTAATATTCGTCACAAGTGTTCATAAGGAAGATGGGTTAATATTCGTCACAAGTTTTCATAAGGAAGATGAGTTAACATTCGTCACAAGTGTTCATAAAGAAGATGGGTTGATATTCGTCACAAGTTTTCATAAGGAAGATGGGTTAATATTCGTCTCAAGTGTTCATAAGGAAGATGGGTCTTGGCCGTGTGGAAGCTTCGTTAATAAATCCAAATTGTATAGTGTACAATAATAAAAAGTGAAAAATAATACAAAAAACTCCAAGAGCGCCATAGTTCACTAGAAATTCGGAAAATTAATCAAATCATTGTTCGTACACAGACTTATCATGGAAAGTGATATAGACACATGGAAATGGTGTACGACGAAATACAGGAGGTATCAAGTTTGATTTTTTTCGTGTGGTTTGATTTCCTCATCCACAGTCTACGAAGCATCATTTTGTTGACAAAAACAACGTACATTTAGAATTACCTAATTATATCGGACTTTGTAGCATAGCTAACAGCTATGTCCTGTTAGTTACCGAAAGGATAACAAAAATGTTTTGTGGAGGTTTTGGTTTCTTTATAATTGTCCTTCTTTACTTCATGTTGGTTTGTGAAGAAAAGTATCTCAAAAATAAAGAAAATCAAGCTTCTTGTGTCTTCCTATTTTGTGTAACAAAATACAGTAATTTAATACAAATACTGCCTTTATAAATATATAAACTTAATAACGTAATTTAATACTAAAAGAGCTTGAACGTGTGTATAAATACTACCTTTATACGTATAAATAAATATGTAAACTTAATAACGTAATTTAATACTAAAGGAGCATGAACGTGTGTATAAATACTACCTTTATACGTATAAATAAATATGTAAACTTAATAACGTAATTTAATACTAAAAGAGCATGAACGTGTATGTAAATACTGCCTTTATACGTATAAATAAATAACGTAATTCAATCTACTGAGCACGATAATAAATTATAGTACCAGGTTTTACATTGGAAATATAACCTACTCAACCATCCTTATATACACCTTCCTGAAACAAGGTAAAGCCAAACTTTTTGAATATCAAGGAAAAGTAGTATTTTGAGATATAATGTGATCGATAAACTCTTGTTTGTTGTTAAGCGCAAAGCTACTTAATGGGCAATCTGTGCTGTGCCCTCAACAACTATCGAAACCCGTATTTTAGCTGTGTGAGCCCTCAGACTTACCGCTGAGCCACCGGGGGCTAAAATACTTTAATATTTATATATTTTTCATTTCACCATGATGGTGATTTGGAGGTGACTTCCTTTGTACTAAAAACCTAATTAATCCCCCCCCTTTTTTTTAAATCTGCAAACAAATATTTAATACAGGTGGGTGCTGTTAACTGAATGCAGAGTTACGCTGCTACAGAGGAGAGAGAGAATAAACAAAATAACATGTATTGCTTCAGGACAAACAAGGCTAGATGGCCACAAGCTGATTTGCTCTAGATATAAGCTAGAATGTAACTTGAAATAATGATTAGTGTTCAATGAATGTAGTGATTTGATCTTCGGTACATCTGAAAGAGTCAAACATCGTAACTTGTTCATTGTAGCGCAAAGCTACACAATGGAATATCTGAGCTGTACCTGCCGCGGGGATCAAACCCCGAATTCCAGCGTTAAACTCCTTTAAAAAAAACAACTAAGAAAACGATCCAACCATGAGCAAAATATTTGTATTGCTTAGGAAATTACTAAGGCTACCTGCTGCCTTCCTTAATTTCGAACAACTGATCAGACGGAAGGCAGAACCCACCATCTACGCTAAGGGAATGACTGTCACTCTTATAATGCACCCATAGCTTTTAAAATGCGGGGAATACTTTGTGGTAGCGCACGGAATTCAACCCGATTCGCCAACTCCAAAATCCAGAGCTCTACCACAGGATCAACCCGCGTCCCGAGGAGCAAACAAACTACTGGATGAATCCCACTGATGTGAAACGTTCTATTATACTTACTCAGTTTTCCTATTGTATCGGAGGAGCGTTTCATTTGGAAAATATACTAATGCTCTTTTTTAATGAACACCCGCATTTATAATGAAGTAGGACTATAATAATATCAGCTAAATCAACGGTTCTCAATTAATGTCAGCAAGGACGCACTTATAATGAAGTAGGATTATAATAATATCAGCTAAATCAACGGTTCTCAATTAATGTCAGCAAGGGCGCACTTATAATGAAATAGGATTATAATAATATCAGCTAAATCAACGGTTCTCAATTAATGTCAGCAAGGACGCACTTATAATGAAGTAGGATTATAATAATGTCAGCTAAATCAACGGTTCTTAATTCATGGTTCGTGGATTCCCTTCAGATGATCCATGAAAATATTGCATGCTTACGGAAAGGAAGCGGCATAGTGTATAGATCCCATTGTAGTCCACAAACAGAATAGGTTGAGAACCACTGTACTACGGAAAACGGATTAGGAAACTACCACCAGCATTGACAAAATGTTTTTAGAAACTCACGAAAATTATGATGAACAAGAAATGTACGTTTCGTTAAAAGCGAGCTGCAGTTAGATCCGAGTGTGGCCCGAACTAAAAGTCAGCCTGTGAATTCAAATTTCGCGATCCCTTGCTCCAAAAACACGCTTCACACTTTGGATCTATGAGTTCTCCATAAAAGTGACAGTCAAATATCATTATTCGAATAATTTGTTTTAAATTTTCGCGCAAAGCTACACGAGGGCTATCTGCCCTAACCGTCCTTAATTTAGCAATGATAAACTAGAGGGAAGACAGCTAATCTACACCACCCACCACCAATTCTTAGGTTTTTCTTTTACCAACGAATAGTGGGATTGCCCGTAACATTATAACGCCCCCACGGTTGAAAAGACGAGCATATTCGGTGACGGGGATTCGAAATCACGACCCGCAGCATCCTTACCCACCAGGTCACTCCAGGCCTTATTCGAATAGTAAAAAGAAGACAAAGGATTGGCAATTCGATCTAACAAGAGTAACCAAAGAGTTGGCGGTGGGTGATATTGACTCTAGTCTATCGCTTCAAAATTACTGACGGCTTTGCAGATAGCCCTCGAGTTGTTTTGCGCAAAATCCATTAAACAAATAAAACTTAACTGCTGGCTTCCCAGTTTTAAGATTCCTGCTTTACGAAAAAGTGTATCTGAAATGCATTTTAAACATAAGCTATTACACTTTTTATAACGTTGTGTATGAAAAGCGCCAATGTTTACCTGTGTAATTTCTAAGCCAGTTCGCAAAATTATTCCGCTCCATACGTATAACAGCACACACTGCTCGACTCGCAATTTGAGGGTCTCGGGTTCGAATCCCCGTCCCACCAAACATGCTCGCCCTTTCAACTGTCGGGACGTTATAATGTGACGGTCAATCCCATTATTCGTCGGTAAAAGAGTAGCCCAAGAGTTGGCGGTGAGTGGTGATTACTAGCTGCCTCCTCTCTAGTCTTTCACTGCTAAATTGGGGACGGCTAGCGCAGATAGCCCTTGTGTAGCTTTGCGCAAAATTCAAAACAAACAAACACACCTGGGAAAACTTTAATTCCCGCTGCGAGATAATGAACATCTGTGTAGTGCGTTGACTATTTGATAATTAAATAAACAAACAGGTTCATCTTCAATCTGATATGTAGTAAATAAATATAAATAAAACTTAATAACCTGGTCCAGCTGACAGGCCAGCGGGCCTCCGTTTGCCACGACTCTGTTAATTCGGCCGGCTCGCTCACTCATTGCTTATCATGTGTTAAATTTATGCATCGAAAAACAGTTTCAAATAAATCCCAAACAGAAAACCCCAATTCCATTTAAGTCAAACAAGTAACAAGTTACGTAACTCCAACGTTTCCATCCTCTGCAGCCCGGTTTTCTGTACGCGGAAGATTGGACCAGCTCTTGTTGATGTATATTTATGCAGCTGTGCCGATGGATGTTGTTAAATTTATACAAATTATCTATGATTTGTCCAAAACGAAATTCAAAAAATTATTTCTCTCGTTTGATAACGTTTCGAGTAGGCGGCAATATTACTTAAATAAATCATACGAGAATAATACCAATATGAAAGGAGCTTAAGCTGAAAAAAAGTACCCGTTATATTTTAAAATAATAATATATTTAACGGATTATATTGTTAAACGAAGTTTCTTTAAACAAATGTTCGTAGTCTCACGTTATATAAGTTTCGTGTGGCTGGTCACTTTTTCAGAGCTTGGCCTTTGACCTCATGCAGTTCTTGCCGAATTACTACATAAATCTCACCTTGGAGGAGCAGATTCAAGCTGGTCACCAAATACAAAGTCTAGTTCCCCGCTGTACATGTGAGAGAACCAGTATACTCAGCCATCCTTATAATCGTTTTAATATAACCTACTCAACCATCCTTATAATCGTTTTGGTTATATTAAAACGATTATAGGATGGTTGAATACGTTATATTAAAATGATTTTAAAACCTCACCACATTGTTACGGTCGATGTCGTCACGTCCGGTCATGCTCTATCTGACAACCCTGCACCTTGAAAAAAAACCTACAGAGTAGTTTGCATTGCAAAAAGCTTTGCCATAAGGCTGTCATCTCCAAAGCACACTACTTCTTTCTCTGTGCTTTCCATAATCCAAATTGTATAAGCATGGACAGGTGGTTAGGAAGCTCGACTCACAATCTGAGGGTCGCGGGTTCGAATTCCCGTCACACCAAACATGCTTGCCCTTTCAGCCGTGGGTGCGTTATAATGTGACGGTCAATTCCACTATTCGTTGGTAAAAGAGTAGCCCAAGAGTTGGCGGTGGGTGGTGATGACTAGCT